GTATTACAGTGTCTGTCATTCTCCCTGCTTATGCCTGACAATTAAGATACAGTAATTATTTTGATAGAAAATATTAATGATGGGTTTCTAGACATATTTGTAAATATGCATCAAATAAACATGAACTTGGACATACGAATATGCAAACTCATTTCAGTGGTTCCTTTTCCCTCATTTCTCTTTTCCTTATTCTAATCATCCATTAAAATTAGATATGGTTTTTAGGATTCTTCTATTATTTAAGTATATTTTGAATACCAAGAAACCCTCTTTGTTAACAGACAGTTGTAGTTTTCATAACACAGTACAGGGATTAATGTGAATTTTTGAAAAAAGCTCTTCCTTGTCTTGAATTAATAATAATTAAACATTAAGTAGTTGCTTGTGGCAGGTCAGTCTGTTCGGAGTACTAAACCCTGGATTAAACTCAGGCTTCATTACTCTTGAAAATTTTTGTCTCTGACAACAATACCTGTTCTCAAACACAACAAAATTTCTATGAGATCTCTATTGATTTAAATTCTCAGCCTAAATGAATCCACAAAGCAGGTCATTTCTAATTTGAAACTAAGACTAATCTTGAAGTCTTTTAGCCTGTGTGTAAACAGTAGGATATTTTAAGATTTAGAACTAATTCATATATATTCTTGTCCTTTTCTCTTTCTTCTCTCCTCCAAATAATAATCACAATTTATAAATAAAGTTTTCCAGATAGAAGATCATTGCATAAGCTTTATATATAAACAACAGTGTAGAGCAAAGTATCTATTACTAGGACGCAGTGATGTCTGGGTATCTTTAGTAATTAGACTGTACATACATACTTTATTAATTTTATACACTGCAGCTTGTACTTGCTACTAGAATGCCATGACTACCCAAAGGTTCCAGTCTGACTACAAGCATGTTTGCTACATATAAGTTTGTTTTATAATTATATAATTATATATTAAAATATAAATATATAAAATATATAAAAATAATATATATTTTTAAGTATATATATATATAAACTTGCCTGAGGAGTATTTATGCATTAATACAGAATTTTTGGACCTTACCTTCATTTTTTCCAAGGAGAAGATAGAGTTCAGAATGCTGGGTTTTGCATACACTGATTTACATTTTCTTATGCATCTTGGGATGGCACGAAGGTTTTTTACAGAACTAAATAATTCTTAACTTCTTAAGTATGTATTTTAATTACAATTTATATTCTGTGCTACAGAATATGAAAAAAAGAAATGAAATTTTACAAATGGACTGTTCTGTTAAAATATAATGACTTCATAGTCTGTTTTTGTTTGAGAACAAAGGGAGTTACAGTTCATTATTCCAATATACAACTGTAATACTATTTAATAAATAACATTGTTTTTTCTTACTCTTATGGTAGAGTACTTGATATTGAAAATTAGGGTTAATACTAATTAAGACTGAGTTGCAGCACCCAGGTGAACTTCTGAGTAAAATCAGAAGAAATAAATGCATTTCTTTTTTCAAAACTTTGAAGGAGAACACACATACTTCCTCCTGTGTCTCAAGTTATGTCCTGGTATTTACATGTCATAAATAGCTAAAGGTAGAAAATAGTTGAAAGAAAGGAAATATAATTATTTTTCAAATTTATTGTGTTCTGGAAATACTCCAGTCTCTCTTTCAGAGCATATAATTTAGGCTGAAGTATTGTGTGGAAGACAATTAGAATTTTCTCTGGACTTTAATGAGAGTAAGATTTTACTCTTCAGTCCTGTGGTCACTTCTTTATATTTCAATATCATGTAACTTTTTTTCTCCTTGAGTTACAAAGCCTCTGCTGTTTTATGATATTTAGGGGTGCTGGTGGGGGTTGTGTTCTCTAGGCTTTTTAATAAACTGTATATATGCACGTGTGAGGTGGCTTTTGTCATATAACCATACAAGCTTTTTATTTTTTCCTTTGGAGAATGTGCATGTGGAAGAGATCACTGAATTGTGACTGTTACTCCCTCATCATTATGCCTCACTTTATTAATATTGAAATAACATGAAACAGCCTATTCAGGAAGCTATCAAGAATTTATGTAGCCACTCCTTACAGCATCCGAGTGGTTTCCACATGAATAACAATAGTAAATTTTCTTGGCATTTGTCTATTCTTCCTTTTCAGGATAAAATCTTCACTTTGGGGTATTTCTGTTTTAGACGAGTTGTTTGATTTTTTTCTTGCTTCCATTGGTTAATATCTTTTTAAAAAGAAGGTTGAACCTATCTGTAGCTTCACAATGGCACTTTTTTGCTAAGTAGTGTAAAAAAATTCATTAAAGTGTCCCCTAACTTGTAAAATGTATATTTTATACCATAAAGTCAGATGAAGAGCCTGGAAAGACATAAAAGAAGGTAAGAGAAGCACACACTGATACAGAACATTACTTTGGCTTGATATCTACAACATCTCCAAATTTTTTTGTGTTTGTCTTCATGATCTGATATTTACATGGACACTACTGACAGATATGAATTTATAGGGCAGGATCTTACTGACATTTTTCTGAGACATACAACACTGAATTTGTAAACAAAAAGAAGGATTTTGACAAAGGCACGTTAAATTATTTTTATGTTTTTCTGAACCAGAGGTATTTAAGGCACTAGAGAATTCCCCATCATAACTAAGACAGCCTTGAAAGTCTGAAGTTCTCGTGCCTTTGTATTGCCACAGTAGTAAACTTTCTGTCATACTTACGGGAATTTCTGGTTCAGGATTTTTTTGTGTAACTAGATATGTGACTTACCACAAGTGCTCTACTAGAGGTTTTTATCTTTCTAAATGTGTCTTAAGAATCCTTGTTTAAATAGCATTGAAAGGGTATTAGACAAGAGAGGAAAGAAGCTACAGCATTGTGCAAGTTGTTGAGAGGAGTAGGTATTTCTGATTTTGAGGCACTTGAGCATTAGGAAAGATGAGGCAGATAGGACTGTCGCATCATTTCCTAGATTTGTTTCTCCTGTTCCCAACTACTTGATTCATCAAAGCTGTTGTGTAGTGTCTGGGTTGGTGTTCACTTGTGCTCCCTCCCTTTCTCACCTCCCTGCCACTTCCCCTTTCTCTGTTCCCCTTCATCCCCCCTCTTCTGCCCCTGCCTACCTCACACACACACACACATCTTTTTAACCCTGGCCTACTTCATCTTACAGAGTAGAGGAAACCTGAATTACATGAGCTGAAATATTAAAATCTGTACACGTTTTAATCTTGCCGCTATTGGGATTTCTTTTCAAAGCAATTCCAATGTGTTTTAAATCCTTACAAATACTTTTTCAGAAATCAGTCATATATGAAGGCAGAGATTATTTTGAATGCTTTTACTTTGCATAAACATAAGAATCTCCTTGCCCTTCTCTGAAGATGGGTGTGGCATCTGTTTTCTGATCACCACAGTCTTTAAAAAATGATAGTGAGCAGCCTCACAGTGACATCAGCTCCCTCAGCAACCCTGGATGTGTCCCTTCTGGTCCCATGGACTTGTTTATGTCCAGTTGTCTTAAGCACTACCTAATTTTATCTTCCTCTACTACTTCATGTGTGCACAGAAAATGAATGCTTTAGAAAAAAAACCTAAGCAACCTAACCCTCTACTGCTGAATTAAACTTACACTTTTAGTGTGTGTTTTGTGACTATACCAACAATATGACTATTCAAGGACACTGAACTCTTTTCCTTTACGTTCATACTGCATAAGTCTTATGTTAATCAGAAAAATAAAAGGTGAAAAGCATGTCATCATTTTAAGAAATCAATATATGGCACTGTATTAATGCTAATTGTGAGCAAAATTGTTCCACTGAAGTCCGGAAGAGTGCACCAACTGAAAATCTAGCTTCTAGAAAAATGTTTGTGTGTGTGTGCATAATTATAAATAGAATTGCTTAGAAGTTTATAAGTTCTTGCACTGTAATTATGTTCTTCAACAGTACTTCCTGCAATTTTTTGCAGTGGAAAATGAAGTTGAAGCTGAAAGGGTTCTCTTCTCATATGGGTATGGTGCTAATGTTCCTACAACAGCCAAAAGACGACTAAAGCAAAGGTAAAAAAGTGCCTCCTGAATTTGCTTATTCAAGATAAAGTAAATGAAGATACCCGTATTATGTCTTGTCTTAGAATCCAGCCAGCTTGATTACCATAAAGAGGTTTTTTTTAATTACTTACATATTCAGGCATAGAATGAAGACTAGGACCTGTTAATGTTGTTGATGCATATAAACGAGCATATACATATTTTTCTGGGTCATTCTAAGATCTTTTTTCCTTGTCTTTCAGAAAGAAGAATTTTAATTGTATAAAACTAAACAGCTGTAAAAACAGACTAGTTACATTGTTTACATTTATATAATAGGAAATAAGTTTTTAATACTCTAAAAATGATTGTATGTAATTGTAACAAAAGCACATCTGTCAGGAAATTAAGGCGGCCAAGGTTTCAGAGCATCACTATTTCATCTTTACAAATACAGGATCTGATTCCAGTTATATTTCTTCAGCTTGTTCTGATACCATTTGATCAATACATAATAATTATGTGTAGGCTGAATAACATACCTCTTGATCATAGTCATTTTTAAATAATAAATTTATCTTACGCATTGTCTTTAAGAAATAATACTGACATTTGAATGGCTCATTGTGAGCATAAAGGCTACAACTCACTGGGAAGTATAGGGAAGGTGGATTTATTTATAATATTTTTAAACTGTGACCACAGCAAAACTTTGACTGTTTTTTAAAGTATGTATAGATAGTATAAAAAGAAAACATAACCTGAGATTGGAATCATGGAATAGCGGGATGATTTAGTTTGGAAGGAACATCTGGAGGTCAGCAGGATCCAACACCGTGCTCAGACCAAATCCAATTGTTCAAGAGCTTGTCCAGCTAAGTTTATTTTCTCTATTGATACTGATTCCACATCCTTCACAATGTCAGGTCAGAGTAACGTGGAGTTTTTTGTCCAGAATCCTGTCTCCAGCCTGGCAGAGGAGACACCACAATTAGGATGGTGGTTCTCCCAGCATTAGAGTCACTCCTTGCACTTTGAGTGTGCCTACAATTTTCTCAAATGCAGGAAAGTCAACTGCATAATTTGTATTATTGGTAGACATTGATCGTGCTGTCTTCTACCACAGTGAGAAACTTCACCATCATTGGTAGACACACGAAGAAGAGTATAAAGACAGGGCGAACATGTACCTTAGCTTCATAGTGTATGTTTCTAGCATTCAGGAGCTAGAATGCACTTCTTGTCACGTATAGCTGTTTTCCACTACAAGCATTATTTTGCTTAGTTGTCCCTGTCCTCTTAACCCCCACCTTCTCCATGACAAAGAATATTTAACATTGAAAGTTACTGATGAGAATTAAAGGCAAATCATGGTCTGTTCATGTTTGCAACAAATTTATGGGCCAGTTACTATTTCTTCTGTCCTTCATTTGTCAAGAAAGTGTTGTTGATACGATTGTCAATCAGATTAGACCTGTTGTGCACTTAGTTACATATTGCTGACAAAAATCATAAAGATTTTCTGTAGTACTTAACTTTGGCATGGCTTCATTTGCCCTTTCACATTTTTAAGCCATTTCAGCTTGTTTCCTTGTAAGATTTCTTTTTATATTGCATAACATTCAAGAAAACAAAAAGGGAGGGGGGAGCAAAAAACTCTGTAACCCTGTTGTATGTCTGTTTTAGGAGACTGTTGTAGCATCATTTCCTAAAACTTCAGTTTCTTCCTCCTCTGTCAATAGTTTGGGAACTTTTCTGAGTTTCAGCTTAGATCCTTCTCTTTCCCCATCTCGTTAGATTCAGTTTAGATTGTTTACAGATAAAAGAATTCTACTAAGTCACCTTTGAATGGTGAATCTGATGATCAATAAGCCAGGATTTCAGATGTGCTCAGAAGTGGTTCTATCAGAATGCCTCATATACTCCTCTTTTGTTCCAGAAGGCATTGGCAGATAAAGCTGATTTAATCCTTCATAATGGCGTTGGAGACTCCATAGGCTTTCTTTGTCTTTTAAAATTAAGAAGATTAAAAAATCCATAAAAGTCTGTGTATGGTTTACCTGCTGCTGTTCTGACTCAAGGACAACTGCTATGCAGAGAATGCACATGATGCCTTTGGCTCCCTAAGCTTTAAAGCAAAGTCTCTGTGATACCAACTTCTATGTTTAGAGCCATTAAAGAAACATAGATAAGTTTTCTGCTCTCTGGGATTGCTTAAGGAAAGAGAATCTATTACAAATGTGAATAATCTTCTTTTTGGAGTCTACTACCTGCTCTTTAATTCCAGCACATGGGATCCTAAATGAAGAGCTCTAAAAGTACACAGATTGCACTTCAGTCTCTGAAACTTTGTACAAACCCACCTATTCAAGCACAATACATTGTGGGGCCTATACCTCTTTGCCTACTGGCCAGAAACAACTATTTCATTACTTTGAATGCAGGCAACATACACCCATACTTGTAAATTAAACATGCCTGGGAACATTCTGAAGCATCAAGACCGAATGGCATGTAGTAGCCCACTTCCATAAATTGGCAATGATTGCTTGCCCACACTAACTCTTCAGCTATGCCTAGGAACTGTTTGGGAGAGTGTTAATGAGTAAATGCCAGAATACCACCAGGAACACTCTAGTGGTTTGCTAACAATGAAATATCACATTCTTGAGCACTGCATAATTTTCTAGTACAGTTGGAATCAAAGTTTTCCAGAATAAGATGTCTTTGCAGATCAATCCCTTTCTCCTTTTGCTTTAAACTACCAAAAAACATACTGACAAGCATACTTGGAAGACGTACTTGTGTTTATCCTTAAATACTTGGAAATTCAGGTCAAGTTCACTGAATAGTTATAGCTGGGAAAATTACGATGGGCTACATCAGCAAAGTTGCTATGGGAAGGTATCTATGTTTCCCCTTGCACTCTAATAGCTAATGTCTAAGATCCCTGACTAGAGGTATAGGAGAAGTGGTTTATTTCTTATTTGTACTAAATGGGATCTTAACACACATCTCATATCTACTAAATAAAAATCCAAATAACTAGTTTGGAGCATTAATTTCTCTTTTTCTCAGTTATTGTTTACACAGTCTAATGATCCTTGTAGGCAGAATTGAGAGAACCAGCCTCTTAGTGAATGCTATTGAGAATTTCAGGTAATTCCTCTCATAGAAGGTGAAAGTAAAAGAGTGTCTGTATAAAAGGGTAGATTTATAATACAGGTGAAGAATATTAAGACTTCTGCCTAATCTACAAGTGCATTCTCTTTTACTGAGGAAAAGGTGGAGGTTGCGACTGGTCAAATTTTCAGAGGAAGTTTATACGCTCATCTAGCTTTACACTCTCTAAGCCTCAGCTTAAGGGTAGATATAATTTCCCTGTCAGTCTGGTTTGGACCACTTACACACTTACAGATTTAGTATCATGATCAAGAATTGTGTAACACTTTGCTATCCATTAGTTGGAAACTAAGTGTCTTACATTTTCAGTTTATGGATGGTAAGCATCGAGAGTCTAAGATCTGAACTGAAGTGACTTCTCAGTTTCTTTGATATACAAGTCTCTGAAAAACGGCACACATTTGTCTGGAAGGATAGATTGATGCGGAGAGCCCACAGTCCGCTGGTTAAGGCATACTAAAAAGGGGTATTAGCCCTGTATATATATCTTCCTCATTCTTAAGAACTCTGAATTTCCCATGTCATTTTGTGAAATAGGTTGGTGACTAGAGTACCTAAACACAGAGGAGTACAGTGATAAATTCTCTAGATACAATTTTGATGATAAGCCACAAAGCAGCTGAACCCTACAAAGATGGCAGGATTCATTACAGGATACATAGATTTAGACATCTAATCATAGATTTAACATAGAGACTTGACATCTAACCTTCCAGTATAACCAGTTTAGTTCTAATCACTATGGACAATGGAGTTCGGAGCACATTTCAGTTCACCATCCAGGAGTCCATTTTAGTGGAAAGTAGTCAGGCTCTACAGACTATCAAATAGGACTAAATGATTACTAACACCTTCAAAGACTAGGTTAGATGTCTAGAAGTAGGCTCTGCAATTGCATGATGACTCTTCCCATTGCTGCCTGTGGAACTTTGCTGCTGAATTGATGAGAAACTCTTTTGACTTTGAACATGAAACCTGCAAGAGGTTGAGGATCTTAGTTTTTAACTAGGGTGTTTTAAGTAACTCAATAATCCTTTCTCTTCACTTCTAAGTTAGTTTGTGGATCTGTGTAAGAGTTTATTTTTAAAAAAAAGTGGCAATATCATTTAATTATTTAGCACGTTAAATGACAGACAAAAAAATTTTGCCTCTGTTTGGAAAATTATAAAATACTACGTTTGTCAGTGTTCCACTACAAAATTAATGTGCTTTTTTTTTTCTTAAATTATTTAAGGAGAAGCCAATTACAGTGATTCTCTGAAGTTGCTAAAAAGTAAATACTCATAACTAGTTGAAACATTTTGACACAATTACTGCAATAGCGTAGTATTATACAATCTATTTAAGTAATTACTTTGTAAAAAAAAGTTACAATGGCATAACTGGGAATGCTATTTCAGTGCTGTTAAATTTTGTAATATTCTGATTGTCTTTCTAACTTTGACCATTCTGCATGTTTCACTACGTAGTGTATATATATCAGTACTTATGGTGAAAAATTAAGGCAATCAAGTTCTGAAGTATAAATGTGGGAATTTCTTTTGCATGTTTTGGAAAAAATTCAACCTGAGCTTGCTTTTTATTGGCACAGTGTTCACTTGGCAAGGAGGTTACTGCAGCTAGAAAAGCAAAACTCGTTGCTTGTAAAAGATCTGGAACATCAGAAGGAACAAGTAACACAGATTTCACAAGAGGTAAATTGCTGCTACAAAAAAAAAAAAGTCAAATCTGTAGAGGCTATAAACATTGCAGAACAGCTGTTCATAAGATGAAATATTTTCTAAACAGTGTTTATTATCTATTTGATGTCAAAAAATGGCCTCGTAATTAACCAAAACTCTATGTTAAACGTTTTCAAAGAAGTTTATATTGTGTTTTGAAATGAAGATCAAAAGAGGGATTACTTTACAGGCTAAACAAGAATGTAAGCCAGACAGACAACGTTCTGATTTCTGAACAGAAGACCAGCTAGCCAAACTAGTTTGTTCTGTTTGATAGTTAATTGTTCAATGAATACCTCATTACTTTTTACACAGCTCTTCTCTTAAATCACTTTTGAAGATATTTCTGTAAATCCTTTTATGCATTGTTCAGTTCCTAAGTCTTTTGAATGTACAAGTCTGGGGAATGTTTAACATAAGCTGCTTTTTAAAAAAGCTAAAATTAGTATTATTTTTACTTTGTTACAATGAGTTAAATTTAATAATCTTTTAAAAGTCTGTATGTAATACCTGAAATCACATACTATATTGACACGGAGAACAAACACTAAACAAAACTCAGCTTGAAGTCTCCCAGAATTAGAGCAAACTATTTTTTTAAAATATTTTTAAATTGTCTTCTAAGTTTCTTTTAGGAACCAAGGAGCCAAAGAACTCCTAAATTTGCCACTATATGGAATTTTTAGTCTGACTGCTTCAGGAATGTGATTAACAGTTTGATTTTTGTTTTTTGTTTTTTGTTTTTTAAAGCCATGGCAATTATAGATTAGGGTAGCTACACCCAAGTACTTCACAGTGCAACTACTTGCATTTTCTACATATTTTGAAATTACATAAATTTTATATATTTTTTAATGTGTATATATGTATATATATTGTTTCAATGAAAGATACATGAGCAGTGATGGTTTTGTACAGGTTTTTTTCAACCAGTAGTACAATTTGTTATGGATTCTTCTTAGGTATATCCTAGTAATTTGTATTTGGCTAGAACATATCTTTCAAATTTACTTGACTTGAAGACATAAAGATATTTGTGAATCCAGTGTTATCCTTGGTATTTTTCTCTATCACTATTGTTAGTAAAATCTATGCTTTATTTCCCACTTAAATCTGTCTGGTACGTTCCTTCTTACCTATAGTGGATTTATATTTGCTTCTAGGTCACTAATGAAAGATTCAGTACCAGAGACCTTAGTTCAAATTCCTGCAAAAT